AATGGAGGCAAAGATTGAGAAGATGCAAGAAATGTTTAACAAAAACCTAGAAGAATTAAAGAACAAACACCTAGAAGAATTAAAGAACAAACAAACAGAAATGAACAATACAATAACTGAAATGAAAACTACACTAGAAGGAATCAATAGCAGAAAAACTGAGGCAGAAGAGCCGATAAGTGACCTGGAAGACAGAGTGGTGGAATTCACTGCTGTGAAACAGAATAAAGAAAAAAGAATGAAAAGAAATGAAGACAGCCTAAGAGACCTCTGGGACAACATTAAACGCACCAACATTCACATTATAGGGGTCCCAGAAGGAGAAGAGAGAGAAAAAGGACCTGAGAAAATATTTGAAGACATTATAGTCAAAAACTTCCCTAACATGGGAAAGGCAATAGCCACCCAAGTCCAAGAAGCTCAGAGAGTCCCATACAGGATAAACCCAAGGAGGATCACACCGAGACACATAGTAATCAAATTGGCAAAAATTAAAGACAAAGAAAAATTATTAAAAATAGCAAGGGAGGGCTTCCCTGGTGGTGCAGTGGTTGAGAGTCCGCCTGCCGATGCAGGGGATACGGGTTCGTGCCCCAGTCCGGGAAGATCCCACATGCCGCGGAGCGGCTGGGCCCGTGAGCCATGGCCGCTTAGCCTGCGCGTCCAGAGCCTGTGCTCCGCAATGGGAGAGGCCACAACAGTGAGAGGCCTGCATACCACAAAAAAAAAAAAAAAAAAGTAGCAAGGGAAAAATGAAAAATAACATACAAGGGAACTCCCATAAGGATAACAGCTGATTTCTCAGCACAAACTCTACAAGCCAGAAGGGAGTGGCAAGATATACTTAAAGTGATGAAAGGGAAGAACCTAAAACCAAGATTACTCTACCCAGCAAGGATCTCATTCAGATTCGACGGAGAAATCAAAAGCTTTACAGGCAAGCAAAAGCTAAGAGAATTCAGCACCACCAAACCAGCTCTACAACAAATGCTAAAGGAACTTCTCTAAGTGGGAAACACAAGAGAAGAAAAGGACCTACGAAAACAATCCCAAAACAATTAAGAAAATGGTAATAGGAACATACATATCGATAATTACCCTAAATGTGAATGGATTAAATGATCGAACCAAAAGACACAAGTTTGCTGAAGGGATACAAAAACAAGACCCATATATATGCTGTCTACAAGAGACCCACTTCAGACCTAGGGACACATTCAGACTGAAAGTGAGGGGATGGGGGAAGATATTCCATGCAAATGAAAATCAAAAGAAAGGTGGAGTAGCAATACTCATATCAGAAAAAACAGACTTTAAAATACAGAATGTAACAAGAGACAAGGAAGGACATTACATAATGATCAGTGGATCAATCCAAGAAGAAGATATAACAATTATACATATATATGCACCCAACATAGGAGCACCTCAATACATAAGGCAACTGCTAACAACTATAAAAGAGGAAATCAACAGTAACAAAATAATAGTGGGGGACTTTAAACCTCACTTACACCAATCAACAGATCAACCAAAATGAAAATAAATAAGGAAACAGAAGCTTTAAATGACACAATAGACCAGATAGATTTAATTGATATTTATAGGACATTCCATCCAAAAACAGCAGATTACACTTTCTTTTCAAGCATGCATGAACATTCTCCAGGATAGATCACATCTTGGGTTACAAATCAAGCCTCAGTAAATTTAAGAATATTGAAATGATATCAAGCATCTTTTCTGACCACAACATTATGAGATTAGAAATGAATTACAGGGAAAAAAACGTGAAAAACACAAACACATGGAGGCTAAACAATACGTTACTGAATAACCAAGAGATCACTGAAGAAACCAAAGACTCCCTAACACCGTACACAAAAATAAACTCAAAATGGATTAGAGACCTAAATGTAAGACTGGACACTCTAAAACGCTTAGAGGAAAACATAGGAAGAACACCCTTTGACATAAATCACAGCAAGATCTTTTTTGATCCACCTCCTAGAGAAATGGAAATAAAAACAAAAATAAATAAATGGGACCTAGTGAAACTTCAAAGCTTTTGCACAGCAAAAGAAACCATAAACAAGACGAAAAGACAACCCTCAGAATGGGAGAAAGTGTTTGCAAACGAATCCATGGACAAAGGATTAATCTCCAAAATATATAAACAGCTCATGAAGCTCAATATTAAAAACAAACAAACAACCCAATCCAAAAATGGGCAGAAGACCTAAATAGACATTTCTCCAAAGAAGACATACAGATGGCCAAGAAGCACATGAAAAGCTGCTCACCATCACTAATTATTAGAGAAATGCAAATCAAATCTACAATGAGGTATCACCTCACACCAATTAGAATGAACATCATCAGAAAATCTACAAACAACAAATGCTGGAGAGGGTGTGGAGGAAAGGGAACCCTCTTGCACTGTTAGTGGGAATGTAAATTGATACAGCCACTATGGAGAACAGTATGGAGGTTCCTTAAAAAACTAAAAATAGATTTACCATATGATCCAGCAATCCCACTACTGGGCATATACCCAGAGTAAACCATAATTCAAAAAGATACATGCACCCCAATGTTCAATTCAGGACTATTTACAATAGCCAGGACATGGAAGCAACCTAAATGCCCATCAACAGACAAATGGATAAAGAAGATGTGGTACATATATACAATGGAATATTACTCAGTCATAAAAAGGAACGAAATTGGGTCATTTGTTGAGACGTGGATGGATCTAGAGACTGCCATACAGAGTGAAGTAAGTCAGAAAAAGAAAAATATCGTATATTAACGCATATATGTGGAACCTAGAAAAATGGTACAGATGAACCAGTTTTCAGGGCAGAAATTGAGACACAGGTGTAGAGAACAAACGTATGGACACCAAGGGGGGAAAGCGGTGGGGTGGTGGGGGTGGTGGTGTGATGAATTGGGCGATTGGTATTGACATGTATACACTGATGTGTATAAAATTGATGACTAATAAGAACCTGCTGTATAAATATATATATATATATATTATTCAAGTTATCCAGTGACGAAATGACCCAGTTGATTGTATGACTGATTTGACCAGTAACAGAGTGATGTGAGTAACAAAACAAACAAAAAAACCACAACTGATTTGCTTGGTTTGTTTATGGCTTATGAATAAAGAACTAAAGTGCCACCTAAGTAACTAGATAGGTAGGTGGAGAAATAGATGGTCGGTAGATAGTTCATTCCCCTCCAAAACATTAATGAGTGTACTATTTAGGATCTCTATCTTCAAAATTCCAATAAATCTCTTCTGGCCACCCCCCCACACACCCAATCCAACATATTCTTCTTTTAAATTTACATGTCTTGTCTTCTCTCCTAGAGTAAAATCTCATTGAGAGTTCAAACACTGAATAAATATTTACTGTTTAGTCAGTAAATACATCAGGCCTTGAAGATATACCTAGGAACCAGTTTCACCAGACGCTTACAGACTAGTGGAGGGAAATGACAAGTAAGCAGATGATTATAATAAGCTTATTATAGATATGATAGATATTGGATGGATAAATAGGTGAGAAAGAATGAATGGACACATTTCCCCAATTTGGTAGTTTTAATTTCTAAATCAAGTCCGACCATGGGCTGAACAATCCTGAGGCATCTCCAATGCAGTGGCAGCTGGCAGAGAAGCAAAATATCAGGCAGGAACTAAAACTCCTTAATAGGATTTGCCCTGAAAACCTGGCATTTCATAAAGCAACAAAGTAAAGGCATTCTACCCTCTGCTCAAGTGGAGCACAGACAATATGTTTCCAATGCATCATGTGAACCATAATGTCTTTGTTGTTCTTTAGCCTTAATTTAATTGTAAAGAAATGTGGTATCACATTTTGTTCCGTGAAGAGGAAAATAATCCTTGTATTATGTCAGCCAATAAAAATAACTCAATATGAAAAAAAAAGAAAAAGAAAAAAGAAATTACTACTTGATCTACACTAGATACATTGAACTCATGGTGGTTGAATAAAACACCTAGGTCTTTTTATATGACATTGCCAGGTTCTACTTGCATTTATGGACCTAAGATTTATATATTTATTCCAGTTAACTTTTTTCATATTCATTTCAGCCTGTAGTTCTAGTGTCTTTTGAACTCCTTTAAGTGTCCTTCTCTAATACAGAAAAGGCCCTCTCTTTTTAGCATAAGCATACTTTCTATGTCATAGGATGAAAACTGTGAATGAGAAATTCTTAGAAGAGAGGGCTATGGCAAACCCTTTAGCTAGTTCTCTTCAAAATGAAATCATTATTATAATTACTATCTCCTGGGCAGGATTTTTCATTAATCTATAAATCTACCTAATAATGGTATATTCACCTAGCTTATGTCTCTGTATCTTATCATAAAAGATATTATTCACACAGACTTTATAAAATCCTATGTTAAAAAAATGAGACAGCAAATTTCTTCTAGGAAGCACACTTTGTACTGGAAAGCTCAAAAATGACATAAAAGGGTGTGCAAAGAGAACTCTGCAAAAGAAAGGATAAAAACAAGAATAAATACATGGAAATGTATTATTTCACAGTAATAGAAAGTTATTCTGAGAATGTTACAGGCCCAAGCAGCTAATATAACTGTTGTTAGCAGCAGTGTATGAAAGTCACATGTTTGTGATCCATTCCTTTACCTTGTAACTTATGTCCATTCATTTCTATGGACTAAGTCGAAAGATTGACAGTGATAAAGCATCATGGAAGGAGAAACAGGATCTAAACAATTTAAAATTCTTATTATTACACCCTTCAAACAAACCCGGTACTGGCAAAGATGCTTTTCCTCCAAAGTTTATCTATAACCTTTGAAATAAATTTCATGTCAGAAGTTTGAATTTTCTATTTACTTATGTTTCTTGCAGTATTTTGGTCAAGAAAGTGAATGAAGAGAAACAGTATTAACTTTACTCAGTGAGAAAAAATAATCAACTATGAAATACCTGTGGGCATCTGGCTGCACTATAGCAATCTCCAGCTGTGGCAAATGGAACTGCGTTTCCAAATACTGTCTGGGCAAAAAGAAGGTCTGTAGCTAGAAAATAATAAATGAAATTCTTTAGCACTGAGACATTGTATGTTTTCACATCTTCATTGCAAAACATGCAGTTTTCATATTACATTCTTAAATACATTCATATAACTAATCCAAAATTTTAAGCAAAAATGTTGCACAATTGTAGTACATAATATAGATCAGGCTCTCAAATTTTTATTTAATATAAAAATGTTCACCTCATAAATTGCTCTAAAATATGACAGGGACATCTGTAACTAATCCATATGTTTTAAAAGCTAAATAAATGCTCTATCATATTTTACATCATAGTGAATATCTAAAACAGATAAAGTGGTATAAGGAGCAAAATTACAGAGGAAAAAACATTATTTAAAGATAAATTATGATAAAGCAACATATACATACTTATAGAGAGTATGCATATCAATTCATTTAGAGAATTCAAAAACACGAAGGTAAAAAGTGTGCCATTTTCTTTGATTTCTTCTATTACTATTTCATTCTTTCTAATCTTACTTTTGCTATTGTTATTAGCAAAATTTCTTGACTGGCAACAATGCTGGGGATTCCATATAAAGTATCAGAAAGAAAGAGTCATTGGCTCAAAAATAGGTTGGGAGGAACCCTAAAGGTTAGCTGGTACAATCACTTATTCATGCTTGAATCACTTAAATAACATCCCAACTAATGCTCATGCAGTCGGTGGCTCTCACCTCTGCTAATGTTGTTTCAAATATCTTTCAGGAGGACTGCAAGATCACTGCATGCCCTCATGATGACGCCAGTCCCCTAGAGGCAATCCCTAAAGGTAGCATTTCTGGAAATATTTATCATATCTCCAAGGGCAGCTTCCAAAGCCAGCAGGCCTTCCATGGTGTGCCAGAGTCAGCTTGTACCAAATCATGAGAACCAATTGTGTGTGTCTCTTCCCAACTCCATGCATAATGAGCTCATGTTGGTAGCTTAAAATTGGCCATGGTGGGAATATATACCCCATGGAAACTGGCAAAACCTACAAATCAAACTTTTTTTTTCCTGATTGTTAAGAGCTGGTTGTTAAACATTTATCCACACACCACTGCTTATGCATGGTACTTAGGGTTAGGCTGGGCAAACTGACACATTTTTCAAATTAGCCTTTGCTACTATCTCCTCCATCATTCCCTGGATAACCCACAGATAGCTCTCACTTAACATGTCCAAAGCTAAATGCATTATCTTTTTCTCCATATTCCCCCTGCTATATTTCTCATCTCATTGAACTATATCAGCATCTACCCAGTTATTTTGGAACTCTTTCTAAACATTCCATGCCACAAATCCCCATATTCCATCTGTTGGAAAATCATAGAGTGTACCTCTTTAATATTTCTCTCAGGTTCTCTATTCTGAACCAAGTCCCTAATTTAGGTCCTTATCACCTTCTATCTGAACTATTATATTAGCTTCCTAAATATCTTCATGGATGCAATTTGTTCTCTCTCCAACTGAGCCTGTTCCTTCCACTGTTTATACTTTTACCCCAAAGGTCCCCATAACTTAAAAGATAAATTCAGTTGTATAGTTTAGTACACGTTGTTCTTCGTGATCTGCTTTCTGGGAACTTCTCTAATAAGCGGCTATCCCCCAACCTCCATTCAATTTATGCTTAGACAAAACTAGACTACTCCTTATTCTCTAGTGGAACCAAAATGCTTCACCATTTCATGCTGTGTTCATGATGTCTCCTCCTGAAACTCCTTCTCCTCACTTTGGTTAATTCAAATTTGTCTTCAAGATTTCCTTAAGATAGTTTCTTGAGGAAAGTTGACTTTTATTCAGCAAATATTTCTTTAGAACCTATTGCGTATTGGGCATTATTATAAGTACTGTAAGAGCACAATAGTGGATGACATAGGGGCCGATGGAACCTGAGTGCTACCAGAGAGAAACAAGTAATAGAGTAGATACTATCATATGTTGTAGGTGATCAATGCTATAGAAAAAAATAAAAAATAAAGCAGGAAAAGAATGAGGAGAAAGGGAGTTTTGGAGTGGAGAGGGTCCAGGATGAACTTATTGGGAAGGTGTATTTAAGCAGAGACCAGGAAGAAACTGAGGGGTAAACCCGACAGACAATCATTCTAGGCAGATAGAACAGAAAGTGCAAAGGCCTTAAGGAGGGGTGGAGGGCATGCTTGATGTATTCAAGAAACAGCAAAGGGACAAATGTGTCTGAACCAGATCATGCAAGGGAGGAGTGTGGAGGGAAGGAGCAGAAAGGTAATGGAGGTGGGAAGGTCTTATTGAGTTTTATTGACCATTGGCAGGATTTTTAATTCTGTTATGAGTTAGATGGGAGATGTTTGGAGAGTTTTGAGTAGAGGTTGGGGTTATTAAAAAGATGAAATGAGATAATGTATAAGACAAGACATGGCTTACGTTTTAAGGGATCACTCTGGATTCTCTATTGAGAAGAGAATCTAGGTCAGGAGTTGGGGAAAAGGTGAAAAGGAACCTGAGTGCTACCAGAGTAAACAGGAGTACCAGTCAGTAAGCATAAGAATCCAGGTGAAAAAAATGATATGGACTTGGCCCACGGTTATAGCAAATGAGATAATGGCAAAGTGGGATTTTGCATGTGTCTTAGCTCAAGCTGCCCTAACAAACTATCACAGACTGGGGGGCCTAAACAAAAGAAGTGCAGGTGCAAACAGGGTCAAGTTCTGGTGAGAGCCCCCCTTCCTGGCTTGGAGATCGTCTTCTTGCTGTGTCCTCACATGGCAGAGAAAGAGATTGCTGGTGTCTTTTCCTCTTTTTTTATAATGGCATTCATCTTACAATTATGGTCCCACCCTCATGAACTAATCTAGACCTAATTATCTCCCCAGGACCAAACACTGTCACATTGGGGATTAGGGCATCATATGAATTATGCAGGACACAATACAGTGCATAGCAGCATGTATGTTAATGATTCACCTGACAGAATTTGATGATGGATGGCACGTAGGTGTGAGATAAAGGGAGGAGTTAAAGACATTGCTATGTTTTAGCAAGAGTAACTAGAAGTTGATGGTTGCCATTTACTGAAATGGTAAAAATTTGGGTAGAAGGACTGGTTCCTTTGTAGAGATGTGAATGGACCTAGAGTCTGTCATACAGAGTGAAGTAAGTCAGAAAGAGAAAAACAAATATCATATATTAACGCATATATGTAGAATCTAGAAAAAGGGTACAGATGAACCTATTTCCAGGGCAGGAATAGAGACGCAGAATGAACATGTGGATGCAGTGGGAGAAGGTGAGGGTGGGACAAACTGTGGGATTAGGAATGACATATATGCACTACCATGTGTAAAATAGATAGCTAGTGGGAACCTGCTATAAAGCACAGGAAGCTCAGCTCAGTGCTCTGTGATAACCTAGATGGATGGGATGGGGGGCTGGGAGGGAGGTCTAAGAGGGAGGGGCATAGGTATACATATCGCTGATTCACTTCATTGTACAGCAGAAACTAACACAGCATGGCAAAGCAATTATACTCCAATTAAAAAAAAAAGAAAGTTCAGTCTTGGATACATTGTCAGAAACATATTAGATTTCATGTGGATATGTGGAGTAGGGAGTTGAATCTTGGAATTCAGGGCAGCAGTCTGAATTAGAGATATACATTTGGGACTGTCATTTAATAGATGGTATTTGAAATCTATAAGTTGAAAGAGATCCTTAAGGGAATGACTGAGTCCTGAAGTTCTTCAATACTCAGTGTTGTATAAAATGAAGAGTAACTAGCCAAGTTGAGAAACAGTGAGAAAGATGGGAGAAAGAGTGACCAAGACAGGAGCCAAATGATGAGAGTGAGAAGTCCTGGAAACCAAAGACTGCTGATGGATCAAATGAAATGAAAATCAAGAATTTGTCATTGGAGCTAAAGAAATGGAAGAAGAATTGGTGATGTAAGAGAAAAAGGAAAGTTTGCTGAAATAATGGTCCTGAGTTGGTACAAAGCAAGGAGCTCAGAGCACAAGTAGAAGGGGTTGCCTCAGATGGCAGCAGAAATAGTTCATCCACAGTGACCAGGAGAGAAGGCAAAGTCTATAGGTCAAGGTTTAGGTCATCAGCAATGAGTGACTGGAGTGGAGGTATTAGAAAATTTTGAAGTTTGAAGCCAGAGGAGAAGCTGTGAGTCAGGCATTGAGAAGAGTTGGGGAGGAATGGACCAGGGTCCGTGCAAGCTCAGGAGTCATGCATTTAAAGTAAGATCAGTCAGGAGGGCTGTGTATTACTTGCCACATGCAAGATTCATGGTGCAAGTGCAGAGTAGGTGAAAGGTTTAATTTAATCAAGACTGGGGTTTTGGCACACAAGTATGAGGAAGGAAAAGAGAAAGCAAGTGGAAAATGTATACATTTAACATTGTATCTTCAGAGCCCAGTCCAATGCCTGGCAAAATGGCAGGTTTGATAAATTAATGAAAGATAAAAGCTTGCTAAACAGCAAATAAGTTCCCAAATGCCCATTATGTACTCAGCAATGCTGACACAACATATATTATTAAATAATAACCATTGTTTATAGAACACCTACTACTCGCAAGGCATTTACTAGATATGTTACAAGTATTATCTCTTAATCCTAACCGAAAAAAAAAAAAAAGGAAAGAAAGCAGAAAAAAAGAAAGAAAAACACCTGAGAGGCATCTTATTATGACTGGTAACTGGATGCAGAGAACTTACACCCAGCAATCTAACTCCAGAGTCTATGATCATAACCAAAGCATTATAACACTTCCCCACTGCAGTAATTGTGGGTGTTCAGTAAATGGTAGCCACTATTACTGACAATAATAGTTCACCATCATATGACTGATTTAGAGATTATGTATTCATGCATTCACTGTCTCAACAAACATTGTTTTGTTTCTTTTTGTGGTTTAGGTACTGTGCTAGGCACTGGTGATTCAATTGTGATTTAGAGTTTCTGCTTCTGAAATGAACTTCTTTGCATTTTCCTGTCACTATGTAATTTTCAGGAGGGCAGACTGCCTGATGCTCAGTGTATGTGAGGTTTCATAAAGTATATTTACTTTAACTTGACTGTACTATAAATTACTTCCTAGAAAGGCAGCAGGTCCATAATCTGGGATCTGTGAGTGGGACTTATCTCCCTGCAATGCCAGTTACTAACTGTATGAATTGGGCCAAACACTTAATTCTATAAGTGCATCTTAATTTCATCACTTGCAACAATGTGATGAAATTTTGCCTTATCTAGTATAGGGTTGTTAAAAAGATCAGATGAGATAAAGTATGAGAAAATACTAGACAAACTGTCACCTGAAGCTAATGTTAATTATTACTTTAAGCCCTTGCAAAAAAGCTTATACAACTACATTGAGGATATTAACTTCCTTATTTTTAATGTAATTGAGGATTTTAAGGTAGATTGTTATATCTTGGAAGGGCAGGATCTTTACTATGACAGTATCCTTACTATCTTTACTAATGACAGTGTCATTACCACTACATTTTTATTAAGGGTTCCCATGGTTTGTATCATTGCACTGGAACTATGTAGCTAATAACTTTTTAAAAAGAATTCTAAGTAATTATTGTACAATGCTAGGCCCTTCTCTATACCCTAGCTACCACATATACCATATAGTATATTGTTACACTTGCATTAGCAAACAGGTACTTTTCATTTTACAAATAGAGATTCAGCACTTACTTTTAATTTGCATGGAATTAAGATCAATTCTTATTTTGCTGAAAACAGTGTGTCCAGCAGCCAAGTAGTCATTTTTACACTCACAGTCTTGCCTCCTGCTTCCATTAAAAGGACATTCATATGGATTTTGCAGTCTGTAACAACATTAAAATATTTTAGTATTAGATACCATTATTAGACCATAATGCAGATAAATGGTAAACTTTGGAAGTGGGAAGGTAAAAGACACACTCCTCAATATTTTAGGGTCAACAGGTTAAATGTGAAAGAAATGAAAATCATTCAACAAGTTAAATGTCAAAGAAATACAAAATGATCAATGGGAAATTCAAGACCAGTTTGTGGAAAAATAATTCAGCTGTAGTTCTCCTAGCTTTTATTACTGGAATTAATTTGACTTCTATGAAAATACACACAGGTCTTAAATTCTTCCCTCCTCTGTTGTCTCACTGCTCACCCATATTATCCTTCTTAGTCAGTCTCTCTGTGAGTACATGTTAATGCTCAAATCTTTATTATTGAACAGGCATGGACAACATCTGTCTTAGGTCATAATATGTCTACCTGTTTCTAAATTACTTGTCACACTGGGAGCTATTCAAGTACCACTCTGAACTCTGGAACTTCTAATTCTCTTGAAGGACCATGAAAATGCACAGATAAGGCAAAACACAGCATATACCTAAAGCCATATACTTCAGAAAAGTTGTCTTCTTCACCTTTGACCAATGATATATATTCCTTGGGGTTCTGCAAGTGCATGCCAGCACAATAGATCTAAAGAGAAAATGCAAAGATCTAGAAAAGATTTTTTCAAAGTCAACAGTCAATGCTAAAATCAAATAGGAGCTGTCTTCATAATACCTTTATTATTCTTCCTTTAATGTTAAGGTAATAGTCACCATCTTTGGTAATGTTGTTTTTCACTTGGATTTCTTTACAGCTGGTAAATGTTTTACCTTCAAGGACAAGTGAGTACAACTTATCAACAATGAACAAATTACAGACACAACAAGAATTTAACTCAATTACACCAATATTGTTATATTCTGAAAAAAACAGACCTTTCATTTTGTGGAGTGTATGACTACTCTAAATATTTATTTTCAGATTTTAATTAAAACTTCTTAGGAACACTTAGGTTCTAGATTTTTGAAGTCTAGTACTTACAGTCATGGACATAACATTTCTTTTGAGCATCTGGTTTTAAACTCTTTAAACATAAGTCACTGGACCAACCATTGTCAGCTATGCATTCCACTCTTCTCTCCATTATCCCAACTCCACAAGTCACAGAGCACTGTGAACAGAGTAAAATTTGAAGGTAAAGTATATAATGGATAATAAGCCAGTAAATACATGTCTCCTCCTTTCAAGCTAAGTCCTTTTGGAACAAACTGATGATCAATAATGGCTAGAATTTCTGCAGACACAAAAATATCCTGGAGGCTAGAGAGTCACAGGTGGGGTTAATCCTTAAGAAACTCAATCTATTCTTTCTCAATTACTGGCTCCTTTCCATTTATTTTGTATAGTTAGCTCAGCAGTATATTGTAAATACCCCATAAATATTAATTAATGATGGTTATTCAGACTACTGAGTTTTTACTCATTGTTGTATGCTGTTTGCAAAGCAATATTTACTTGCTTTCTATCAATTAAATTGGAAATGGAATATGGTGCAAATAACCTGTATTACTCATACATTAGATCTATTTACTTTTTCACTTAACCAATAAGTATTGCTTAAGCATCTATTCAAAATGCAAGCCACTGTGCCAGGTGCTCTGAGGAAAAGAAACAAGTATTAATTATTGTCCCTGCTTAAGGCAGGTTATAGCAAACTTAGAAAAAGAGATGATAACTGATAAATAACTGGTAAAGTGATTGTTAGACAATAGGGGTATGAGACAACTCTGATATCTAGTTAGAAGTGCAGAATAGTAGGCATCCCACAACTAGAAAGTCTCATTCAGAAGATTTTAAATTCATAATTATAAACTGACCTTGCTCCATTTTCCAACTTTCCAAGTGGCCATATGCAAACAGGTTCTAAAATTGCATTTGTAAACCTGAGGGGAAGGCAGCACAGGGCATTCTTGATAGTCTATAGGCCACAGCTCATGAAGCTTATATTTCTCAGTAGATCGGATCCCAATGCAATATGAAATCCTTTGTCGGTAACTAAATCCACAGTTACCTGCACACTGAAAAATACAATGTTACGAAGGGAGAAGAAGATGCTCTTAAACTTAACCAGGGTTAAGCACCACTACTTTCCAGGTGCTTAATATATACTATGTTATGGTATCCCCACAACAATCCTATTTATTAGCCTCATTTACAGATGGGTAAACAAATGCTCAGAGGTATTAGGCAACTTTCACAGAGTTGTACCAGGATGGAAAGGATCCAGATTCAGGATAGATTGTCTATTTTCAGTGCCTATGTTTTTTCTGTTTGTTCGTTTGTTTGTTTTCTGTTTTCTTGGTCACACTACAAAGAATAGCTTAACTGAATGAAAATTTATCTCCTGATAAGCAGAGCTTTGGAGAAATGAAACATATCAAGTGTTCTTACCTGAAATAAAGGACATTTATTAGTCTTAATGTACTTGTAACTCTATATAAGTTTAGCATATATTTATCTCTATACATACAATGTGATGTGTACTACCATTTGACTAGAATAGGTAAGTGATTTAGATATAAATTAACGATCCAGAGAAAAGAATGAGCAAATAGATTTCTGACTCCAACAAAAAGGAGTAACAAGGAATAGAGTTACCATCTGACCTAAAACAAAAAAACAACCTGAACAAAATATGTATTGATAAAACAATGGCTCTTAAGACACTGGACATTAGGCAATAAAGGACAGTGATTCCCTGGGAGACGGAAACAAACAAAGTGACCCTATAATTGCTCCAGCTTAATGTCTTGAGAGAGTTTCCAGGTTTTGGAACAAGGAAAGGGATCCCAAGGGGACAGCAGAGTTCTGACCAGTGAAAACATGTGAGGACTCCAACTGAGGCCAAGGGATGGACCGATTAAAAGACATATGGGGACGTCCCTGGTGGTCCAGTGGGTAAGACTCCATGCTCCCGTGCAGGGGGTCCAGGTTCGATCCCTGGTCGGGGAACTAGATCCCGCACTCATGTTACAACTAAAAGTCCGCATGCTGCAACTAAGAAGTCCGCATGCCACAACTGAAAGATCCCATATGCCACAACTAAAGATCCCACATGCCACAACAAAGATATCGTGTGCCTCAAATAAGACCTGGTGCAACATAAATAAATAAGTATTTTTAAGTAAATAAATGACATATGAATCACTGTATCTGACACTCACACAGGACCAAATATAGTGTCTGTTCCCTTCATTCAGACTGGAAAACTTATATACATGCAGCAATAGATAGAGTACTCAAAAGGGTCTTGCCACAGTAGAGGGAAATAGCTAACCCTAGACTAAACAATGAACTGGTCTCCCATAAAAAATCTTAAGAGCAAGACAAGAAAAGATCACACTTCTTACAGATAAAATAACTGCATTCTGGAACAAAGCTCAAAATATACGTATAGAAATAAAAACTATCCAGTAGCCAACAAAGTAAAATTCATAATCCATGGCATGCAATAAAAAATTAACTGGCATGCAAAGAGGCAGGAAAATATAACCTATGATGAGGAGAAATATCCATCTATCAAAGCAGCCCCAAAGGGGTGAGTGACATCGGTGAAAACAGCAGAGCAAGGACATCTGAAAATGTTCTCCTCTATAAAGGCAAAGAGAAAACTGACAAAACTTGTGAAAATCAACTTTTTCAGAGCTCTGTAAATTAACCAAAGGCTTGCAGCAATCCGGGAAGCATTTATTAAAGAAATAAGGCTAAATCTCAGTAAGAACAGTGAGCTTTGTGTGTTTTAGTTTGCCCTATTCCCATTCCCCCTCTTCAGCTCTATGGGAGGATTGAAAATCAATAGCCCTGCAAACATAGTGAAAAACAAAAGCATGGAAGCCTCCAGAGGGATTGGACATCTTTCTAAGCCTCATTTCCAGAGAACTGTCATTATTTGAACTGTTTGGTGGTTTTCTGAAAGACCTCACTTGCAAGTCTCTATTTGACTTTACCCAGCACTTGCCCAGTGCTAAAAGCCTTCTCCTTGGAGGCATTTTTTAACACAATTAAAGGCTATTGTTTAACTTTGCAGCTTCCAGAGGAAGTAGATAACAGTCAGGCAAGCAATGGGCTACCAAGAAAAGCTTAAAAGGAAAAGCTTGGAAAGGAGATGTCCACAGGGGCTTTAAAAACTCCAGCAGAGTCATAGATAACCAGAAGGCCATGGACATACATAAGGTTGTGCACATGTCTAGGGCTGTGTGCAAGCTTAGGAAATATCTGAGAAGTACCTACACTCTCATTTCTGGCTGATGTCAAGGCTCTGCTCAAGCGTCTTGGCAAAGACTGGAGATTACTGGTTCCAAGTATCTCAGGAAATCACTATCCAGTCATTAGTTGAAAACTAATCAGATAGAGGCTTTAGTGACCACATGAGACAAAGAATACAGACTTTACAGTTAGTTCAGAAAAGTCACTGAACAAACAAACAAACAACAACAAACAGCAGTAACAACAAACTCTGGGAAGATGGGAGAACATGTGTAGAAATCTGTGTATAGAAATCTATGTAGACCTATAACAAGTAAAGAGATTGAATTAATAAACAAAAAACTTCACACAAATAAAAACCCAGGACCAGAGCCTTCATTGGTGAATTCCTCCAAAAGTTTAAAGAATTAGCACCCTCCCCCTCCAAAACACTTCCAAAAGATAGAATAGAAAAGAACACTTCCTAATTTGTCATATGAGGCCAGTATTTCCCTCATACCAAAACTAGGCAGACATAACAAGGAACGAAAACTACAGACCAATATCTCTTGTGAATATAGATGTAAAAATCCTCAACAGAACACTAGCAAAACAATCCCAGAAGCAAATAAAAAGGATCATACACCATGACAAAGTAAGATTTATCCCAGGAATGTAACATTGTTTCAACATGTGAAATCAATCAATGGAATACATCATACAAATAGACTCATAAAGACCACAGGAGCATCTCAATAGATGCAAAAAAAGCATTTCACAAACTGACACATTTTCATTATACAAGCACCAAGCAAACTAAGAATAGGAGGGTATAATAAAGAGAATCTACAAAAAAATCCATAGCTAACCTATTCAATTATGAAAATTGAAAGTTTTCCTGTAAAGAGAAGGATATCTGTTTTTACCATTTCTACTCAACATTGTTTTGGAGTTTCTAGCCAGGGATACTAGGCAAGAAATGAAGTAAAAGTCACCCAGATTTAAAGGAAGAAATAAAACTACCTGGATTTGCAAATGATATACTTCTGTATATAGAAAATGCTAAGTAATCCACACAAAAAAAGAACTGTGCTCAATAAATGTGTTTAACATACAAAAATCAATTCTATCTCTACACATTATGAATGGACAAGCAGAAAATGAAATTTGAAATTAAGAGTATAATTTCATTTTCAGGAGCATAAAAAATTAATAAAATTTTTAGGAACAAAATTAACCAAAATGTGTAAGATTTGTACAATGAAAACTATAAACTATAAAGCATCCTTGAAATAAATTAATAAGACCTAAATAAATGGAAAGACATGTCAATTCACAGATTGGAAGACATTATTAAGATGGCAACATTCCCCAAACTGATCAAGATTCAATGTAATCTCTAACAAAATCCTAGCTGGAGTTTACACAGAATATGACAAGTTGATCCTAAAATTTATATAGGAATGTAAGGGACATAGCATAAGCAAATAATCTTGAAAAGGAAAAGAAAAATTGGTTCTCTCACACTTCCTGATTTCAACACTTATTATAAAACTACCTTACTATAAGACCAAGACTATGTGGTAATGATATAAGGATAGGCACATAGATCAGGGAACTGAATTCAGAGTTCAAAAATAACTCTTCAGTAATAGATAATTCAATGAGGAAAGAACAGTTTTTTCCAAAAATTGTGTTGGAACATCTGGATAGCCACATGCAAAAGGATAAAGTTGGACCCCACTTCACATCATATACAAAAATTATTACAAAGTGGATTACAGACCTAAACGTATCAGCTAAAATTATAAAATTCTTAGAACAAGATATAAGTGTGAATCTTTGTAACCTTGGATGGGCAATAGTTTCTTAGAAATGATACCTAAAGTACAAGTGAACAGAAAAAATAAATTTGACATCATCAAAATTAAATACATTGGTGCACAAAAGACACTATCAAGAAAGTGAAAATGCAAGAGAAAAAGTTACAGCTGACACTACAGAAATACAAGGATTATAAAAGATTACTGCTAACAATTACATGCCAACTAATTAGATAATCTAGAAGACATGGATAAATTTCTAGAAATGTTCAATCTCCCAAGACTGAACCAGGAAGAAATAGAAAATATGAACAGACCAATCACATGCACTGAAATTGAAACTGTGATTTAAAAACTCCCAGCGAACGAAAGTCCAGGACCTGATGGCTTCACAGGTGAGTTCTATCAAAAATTTAGGGAAAAGTCCACAGCTATCCTTCTCAAAATATTCTAAAAAATTGCCAATGAAGGAACACTTCCAAATTCATTCTACAAGGCCAGCATTACCCTGATACCAAAACTAGACAAAGATATCTCACACACACACATACACACACACACACACACACACAAATACAGGTCAATATCACTGATGAACATAGATGCAAAAGTCCTCAACAAAATATTAGCAAACCAAATTCAAGCGGGATTTAGTCCAGGGATGCAAGGATGGTTCAATATCCACAAATCAATCAACGTGATATACCACATTAAGAAAATGAAGGATAAAAGTTTTACGCTTATTTCAATAGTACAGGGAACATACCTCAATATAATAAAGGTTATATATGACAAACCCACAGCTAACATCACACTCAGTGATGACAAGTTGAAAGTTTTTCCTCTAAGCCTTCTTCTAAGATCAAGAACAAGTCAAAGATCCCACTCTCACCACTTTTATTCAACATAGTTTTGGAAGTTCTAGCTACAGCAGTCAGACAAGAAAAAGAGATAAAAGAGGTTCAAATTGGAAAGGAAGAAGCAAAACTGTAACCATGGGCTTCCCTGGTGGCGCAGTGGTTGATAATCTGCCTGCTAATGCAGGGGACACGGGTTCGGGCCCTGGTCTGGGAGGATCCCACATGCCGCGGAGCAACTAGGCCCGTGAACCACAACTACTCAGCCTGCGCATCTGGAGCCTGTGCTCCGCAACAAGAGAGGCCGCGATAGTGAGAGGCCCGCACACCACGATGAAGAGTGGCCCCCGCTTGCCACAGCTAGAGAAAGCCCTCACACCCAACACAGTAAAAATAAATTAATTAATTAATAAACTCCTACCCCCAGCATCTTCTTTAAAAAAAAAAACAAAACTGTAACCATTTGCAGATTACATGATATTATATATAGAAAACCCTAAAGACTCCACCAAAGAACTATTGGAACTAACGAATGAATTCACTAAAGTTGTAGGATACAAAATCAATACACAGAAATCTGTTGCATTTCTATACACTAACAACAAACTATCAGAAAGAAAAATTTTAAAAACCATTCCATTTACAATTGCATCAAAAGGAATAAAATACCTAGGAATAAATTTAACCAAGGAGGTGAAAGACCTGTACTCTGCAAACTATAAGACATTGATGAAAGCATTGAAGATAACACAAGTAAATGGAAAGATACACCATGCTCATGGATTGGAAGAATTAATATTGTTAAAATGTCCACACTACCCAAAGCAATCTATAGATTTAATGCAATTCCTATCAAAATACCAGTGGCATTTTTCACAGAACTAGAACAAAGAATCCAAAAATTTGAATGGAACCACAAAAGGCCTGGAACAGCCAAAGCAATCTTAAGAAAAAAAACAAACAGAAAAAACCCCAAAAACCCCCAAAGTTGGAGTTACCATGCTCTTGGATTTCAAACTGTATTATAAATCTACAGTAAACAAAACTGTATGATACTGGCACAAAAACAGAAACATAGCTGAATGGTACAGAGTAGAGATCCCAGAAATAAACCCATGCTTATATGGTCAATTAATCTACAACACAAAGCTAGGAATATACAATGGGGAAAAGACAGTCTTATTGATAAATGGCATTCGGAAAACTCGACAGCTATGTGCTAAAGAATAAAACTGGATGCTTTCCTTACACCATATACAAAAATAAACTAAAAATGACTAAAGATTTAAATGTAAGGTCTGAAACCCTAAAACTCCTGGAAGAAAACATAGGTAATACACTCTTTCACACCAATCTTAGCAGTATTTTCTTGTATACATCTCCTCAGGCAAGGGCAAAAAAAGCGAAAACAAACAAATGGGACCACATCACAATAAAAACCTTTGGCACAGCAAAGGAAACTATCAAAAAAGTGAAAAGACAGCCTACTGAATGGGACAATATATTTGCAATGATATATTGGATAAGGGGTTAATATCCAAAATATATAAAGAACTCACACAACTGAATATCAAAAAAAGCAAACAATTCAGTTTAAAAATGGGCAGAGGATCTGAATAGATATTTTTCCAAGGAAGACATACAGATGGCCAACAGACACATGTAAAAATACTCAACATTACTAATCATCAAGGAATTTCAAATAAAAACTGTGATATCACCTCATACCTGTCAGAATGGTTATAATCAAAAAGACAACAAACAAACAAGTGCTGGCAAGGATATGGAGAAAAGAGAACCCTCCTGCACTGCTGGTGCGCATATAAATTGGTACAGCCACTATGGAAAATATTATGGCGTTTCCTCAAAAAATTGTGAATGGGAATTACCATATGATCCAGCAAAATTCCACTTCTGGATATTTTCCTGAAGAAAACAAAAACACTAACTCAAAAAGATATATACATCCCAATATTTATTGCAGCATTGATTACAACATTCAAGATATGGAAGCAACCTAAGTTTACATAAATAGATGAATAAAGAAGCAATAGATAGATGATAGATAGATAGATAGATAGATAGATGATAGATATAGGTAGATAGATAGATAGATATATGGATGATGACAGAGATATATGCTGTACCCCTTACACTTATACAGGGCTGTGCGTCAATTATATCTCAATAAAACCGGAAGAGAAAAATTTTTTAAAGCAGCCAACTATGCAGGGACAGATGCCAAACCGTCCCTGGTAGCCGGTTTCAAAGTTGTCACCGCTTCAGAACTGCACCAGAGTTTAACATACATGTTGCTATTACTCTATTTGCACCATCCAACTGCCAGCGATTTTATCCCTTAGATTGATATGCACACCATCATCTGCTCCCATGTTCAAATTTAGACCCAGTTTCAACTGGGTCAAATTTGAAACTCAGCTGTGTTTTCCAGGAGCGAAAATTCTCAACTTCCTTTCTTTGCCTTACCTGTGATGAGTCTCCCGTTACCACAATATACTTGCAGGTAGGGTTTCTGCACTTTCTGACTGCAAGAGGTCTGGTTGAAGGATCGCAGAAACTTTCATTCACTTGCGTGTTTTGTGCACCCACGCACTTCACTTGCCGATGTGTCTCTCTTTTCTTACATGACGTTGAACACTAGAAATACAATGAGGAAATGAAGAACACATTCTTTCACTGAAGGGTTGTCTGAAAGTGTACTTGACAATACTCACATCCAGCCACTCTCCCGCCACCCAATGGTACTGTATGCAGTCCTGATGCCAACACTGTCTCTGAAAATAAGGCCGTGTGGACTGATCACACTTTTCTTCCGCCACCCGACCAACACCTCGCAGTCTGCAGTACACATCCCTTTGCTGAACTCCAGAGCCACAGGTCACAGAGCACTAAGAAGAAACCCAAACGATTGGAATAATTAACTAACAAATATCAAATTATGTAAAAATCGCAAAGTAGAGCAAAATTATACCATGCATTAGATAGAAAATACATGCAAGAAGTATTTTTAACATTGCCTGGTCTGGAGCACCTATACAAGTATACAAATAGATGTTCTTTATTTTGCAATACCTATTCAAGTCTTATAGAAACTATGACCAGATACTCCATCTGAATTGATAGCTCTCTCTTCTGACTTAAACATACTTAATATCTATAAAATTTACCACACAAACTATTCTACTACTACATTGCTTTTGAACATTATTTAAATATTGAAATTACACTGTATTCATAATCTCCCTCAAAGCAACAATAATTTACAAGTTTGGGTTCTATCCATCTTTATACCTGCCGTCCCTATTACAGCTTGGGGATCCAAACATTTGCTGATTTGTTGACTCGTGATTGTATTTCAGTGGAGAGGTGTTTTGGGAAACTGATCGTATAAGCTTACAGTTTACTTAGACAACCTTGTCTTAGCCTCTCCTCTCACTTGTCTTATCTGTACAAAGAAGGTTTTGTGTTATTTGTAAAATTTCACAGAACATGTCCCACACATTTATTCCTCGCAACAGCTCTTCAAAGGAGGCACCAGGGTTGAGGGCCTGGGACTTAGTTAAGAGATGTTATGTCATTTGCCTGAGCTACTACGTGAAGTCAGTGGCGAAGCAGGTTTAAGCCTGCTTCTTTCTGACTGCAGCCTTTGAGCTCTCCCTGTGCTGCCTCCACGGGATGGAGAAGGACTTGGCAACTTCTCAGGGTTTTCTCAACTCCGCAAGGCCAAGCCATAAAACAGCAGAGCCTGACCACAACCAAGAGCTAGGATGCCAACATTAATAAAGTAGGGAGAACGTCTAAGGGTATTTATTTAATTTGTGAGCTTGGTTTTTATACTCTTCGTTATTCCAGAAGGGATTGGAGGTCATATTGAATGTTACATGGGGCCTCGTGGCTGTTCGCAACTGTGACAGTGTAAGGGTAAAACTTCAGGTTTTTCATTAAGGTCTCTATTTCTGCAGGATTAACAGAGTCAGTGGTTGCTTTTTTCTCTAACAGTAAATATGTCTCTGCAGAATATGGTTTCACCATGAATTTTAAAACACTTAAAGCCCACAAAAGCTAAGAACTTAGTTCACCTGTTAGACTCAAGGTCCTCTTATAAACTCTTGCAACAATTTTACTCTAGCGGCACCTTTAAATTCAGTTTTCTGTCTTGTGTGTATAAGCAGCAACCACTGACTTAAAAGAGGATTTTTATATTTTTTTAACTTACAAAGAATATTATGCATATCTACATCGCTTACTTATATTGACCCTCATTTTATGCTTTAGCAGTTGAATTTTGACAGCTCATTGAATGTTTTCACAAAAAAGACATGGTTCCTTTGTATGGAGATAATAATAATTTAATGTGTATTTTGTGCAGGGCACAATATTAAGCAGACTAAGATGTCAGGTTGTAGTTTAACTTATCTGAACCTTTGGTGAAATGTTTAGTCTATAAAATAAGGCTCCTGCAAACATTTTCCAGTAATAATTTCACAAATATAAACCATATTCAGAAAAATTCCTACTTCTAAACCTGAAAAAAAAATCCTGAAAACAAATTTCACAAAACATAATTTAGCAAGAAGTTCTTTCAGATAAATAGCGTTTTCTACAGTTCAATAATCCACAGTGGCTGACTGATTCTTTGACCACAGCATGCATTTAGAAGAGTCCACTGACACCATAGGGGGCTACTATAATGGACCTCACCCTCAAAGGAAAAAAAAAAACTGGACTACTGCTTGGAAGAACACAAGTAACTTTTGTTTTTCAGCATTTTTTAGAGATAAGAGTACAAAAGACTAAACTGATGTGATTTCAGATTTGAACAGAGGAGAGAATTCTTTGCTTATATGAAGTATTTCTTAGCCTCATGTCATCAATAACCCTAACTGCCAAGTCCAAGAGACACTTTTCAAGTCTTTTCTTAGTTAATCTCACTGACACCGTCAGCACCAGTGACCACATTCTGTTGAGCCTTTCTGGCCTCTGTGATTGAAATCCCCTCTGGTTCCAGGTACTCTCCTCTTGTAGTCCTTAACTGACTCTATTTTCTCTGTTTAGCCTTTAAATGTTAGCATCTCCCAGGGTTCTCTTTATAACTTGCTTCCCTTTATACCCTCTGAACTCTTTCTGAGCAATTTCTTCTATGTCCCAATAATTTCTGAATCTGTTCTCTCTAGCCTTGATCATAATTCTGAGCTCTCCATTTATATTTTCATGTATTTACAAGGAATTTTTCATGTATTTTCTACATAGATATGTCAAAGGCACCTCAAATCCAACATTTCCAAAGCCTAACTTATCGCCTTTGCCCATCAGCTCCTCTTACGGGCTGTGGATGCTGTGAAGACAGGATAACTCACTCTTACGTCCAGCGACTTATTAGAATGACCTCCCAAGGTACAGCTGTAACTACAGAGTAGTCATCTTTATTCAACAGCTTTATTGAACCACATTTTTATAAGCATGTTAAATTTTATCTTTCTTTAAAAATCCAAGTAACTCATATGAAGGCAATGCGAGTCTATCATTACGAGTATGACACAAATAATTGATTGGAAGGCACTAACTGACCGCCACTGCATAATTTAACTCAGAGAGGAAAAGTTAGCCAAATTTCCTATTCATGCGTATATGTACTACAACACTGCATAGCCTGGTGCTTTAAAAACTTGACAGTGGAAGTGGAGAAGGTAAGTTTTAGCCAATCCACAGGTACTGTAGCTGTTTTAGCTACTGTAGAGCAGAGATGAAGAAATGTTAGAACATGCATTGCCAAATGGGTTCATTAAGGCTAACTCACTCTGCTATTTAATAAAAAATTATTTAAAATGTAATAGTAAAGTCCTTTCTTGATGCATTATTTATAATTTCTTGTTAATGGATTAAGGTTTTGATTTTATTATAGTCAGTTATTTGTAACTATAGTTTATTTCAAATGCATCAATACTGTAGCAGTAGTATTAGCAGTAGTACAGGATTTTGAGTTAGAAAAGACTCTAGGAATATCTAATTCCAATTCCTCTTCCATCCTGAAATCCATTTTACAGCAGTAGTGAATGAATGAATATCAAACCTACCCATACTTCCACAGCCTCAGTATGAGTAAGTTCACTGTATCCTGAAAGCAATCATTTCATTTTTGGGTGACTCTAAAGTTTTAGCAAATACTCTCCTATATTGAGTTGAAATATTCTTCCGTAAATTTTACCCACTGTCTAGAACCTGTCCTCCTTATCAACATAGAACAAATTCATACTTACTTTCATGTGAGAAAGTATAAAGGTGTGAGGTCTGGAAAGGGAGCAGCTATTTTATGACCATTAGGGTTGATCAACAGAATCACAGAAATGCCCATCCAGCACCCTGCCATTGTGGAGCTACTGAATCAAACTTAAATCTAGTGACCTTCTGGTCTTGTTATGTGAAGAATAAATGACTTCGAGTTCGAGCCACTAATAATCAGTACTTTTCCTACTTGCAACAGAACACAGTGGAACTGATACAGAATAGTTACAACAATTCGATTGTGCTTCTCTGGGGATTTGGTAATTTGTCAAGACTTTTCTTACAATGTGGGTCTCAGAATAGGTACTGCTCCAAAAATCTGACCAGAATTTATTAGTGCAAAATTTTGAACACTCTTCTTGTATTAATGTAGCCTAATATGTTGCTAGTGATTTAAGCAACTACACCATATTCAATACATGATCAATTAAACCCTCAGTTATTTTCCTAAGGTATGTAAAATCCATATATATCTTAAATTTATGCAACAGGCTTTTTATATATAAATAAGCCTGTAATGAACTCAACACAACATAGAAACTACGTTTCTGTTGAATGCATTGTTATGTGTCATCCAGTGACATTCTGCAATTTTTGACTTCAGATGCCTTGTAAGAGGGGAGATACATTGCTAAGGAAGTAAAAGACATTGCTAAGGAAGTATAAAGATGAGCTCATGTAAAATGATAACTATAAAATAATTATGACAGCAACTACAATAGGGAAGACTCAGACAAGTGTTCAAATGCTCACCCCCCGCCCCCATCACTTCCTGGCCTGTGACATGCACAAGCTGTTCAGTACTTAACCCCTATAAGCTGTTGTTTCCTCATCAGCATAATGAATACCTACAGTTGGGAAGAATACAGAAGTCTCTCAGCAGTGTCAGGAACTGACGGTCCCTTGCTGCTTCCGTCCTATTCCCATTTTTTTCACTTTTCTTACAGAGATACAAATATGTTTGCCTTGAAAAGTTTCTCGACACATGCCTCAAACCAAAGAGTATTAGTCGTCTCAGCCCACTCAAAGATAGACCATCTTAAGTATCAAGAAAGATGATAAAGGAAGAGAGTTAACAGGCAGCATAGAAATTCAAAAGCAGAATTGCTGGCCCTAGCTAGAAAAGATTGAGAAGCATAGCTCACCCAGCCACAGAACAAAAAGACATCCTCTCTGACCTTGGCCTCAGCCTGTCTTCCTGGAAGAAAACTCACTTAACCTGGGTGTAAAGATGAAGAGGCTCTGTATTCTTGGTCAGGGGCTGTGGGGACTTAAGATTTACTATCTTTTTAGATTATAAAAGATATATATGTATACATCACAATTTTTTCAAATATGACTATATTTGAAATCAA